TAAATAAGAAAATGTTACAATGGGACAATTTCCATTAATAATATTTTTTTTAAATGTGTTGGATTTTATTATGAAAGAATATGTTTTAACAATAATTAAATGAAATACAAAAATATGTTATAATGTTTTGGTATTTCCCAATATTGTACATATTTAATAATGAAATAAAATGTGCTAGCTAATAATAGCCTCTGCTTAAAATATCTCTTGCGCTTCATAAAATGTAAGTGATTGTGTCATTTGCTAAGTGTTTGCTTATGGATTTGAGGAGCGAGCACCACTTTGGTGGCCCAGCACCAAAAGAATCATGGAGTCTGATCTTTAGAGGGAAGAGGGAGAAATAAAGCAAGTGTGAGAGAAACAGAGAACGAGACGAAGATGGAGGGGGAGAGATAGAGAGTCGAGACAAACGTACGCTGTGTTACTGGGCCACTCCAGCGCCCGTGGACTCTCAGCAAGACTCAAAGCCACACTCTGCTTCAAAAGGCAGCCATGAAGATTTTTTTTTTTTATGTTTACAAAAAAATATTTATTTATTTCTCGTCACTCTGTCATTTATCTGTTTTTTTCCCCTGCTGTCCCAGCACCCCTTGCTCTGCCACTGGAATCATGTTCGATGACGCCGACGTGCTCGCCCTCCCTTCTTCTCCCCCCCATCTCTTTTAATACCACTGCAGTTGAAAATCAAACTGCTCTAAAACAAATTGATGTACTCTTTAATATAGTCGTCACATCATCACAGGGTCCCCACGCGTCTGCCTTGGTGACAACTGCAGGGCTGCTTAGCTTAGCCCAGCGATGGCTGCCACTTTGTTGGTCGCTTCAATGATTTATCACAAAAAAGAGAGGGGGATTGTGAAGAGAGAGAAAAGGGGAGCGACAGAGAGAAAAGACCCCTGGATAACGATTGAGTCACAAGCACCTTTGATTGACAAGGTCTAATCAGCTTATCTCCATCCTAATAAAGTTGATAGCCTGCGGTGCTGCTCTCTACCTGGCATGGCGTGAACTTTGGGCTGTGCTGGGGCCCATGGGGGCCGCGCTCTGGCCCTCTCTGCTTATCTTAACGGGACTGAAATCAATCCCTAATGAGCTGTTTTCATTTTGCAGGATTGATTACAGGCCCCTAAACACCAAGAACAGTCGCCTAAGAAGTGTTCTCAGCCTCTTGCTGGCCACCTTTAAAATGCAGAGTAGCAACGCTTTTGTCTGTGTCGGTCTTTGTTTCAGCGGCTCATTCTGCTGGCCTTGCTAAGTTATTTGTGTCAACTGAACAAGTATAAAGGGGGATGGATTTTCAAAGTGAATTTCTCCCACATGTGCTGGTTGATTTATTGAGTCGTATTGTTTTTATATTGCCTCTTAGATTCATTCATTCGCAACAATTAAAAAAAATAAAGCATTTCCATTTCATTTTAAATATTAATCCAAAAAAAAATAGAATGACATTAAAGCAAATTACAGAAGCTTCAAGAACAAATACGACTGTTGCTGCTACAATAAGCCCATAATTCAGGTCTGACCCTAAGTCTACTATTACTGTTATTGTCCTACATTTTACAGAGCCATCAGCCAAGGCCGTTCTATGTTGACTCAACATAGCAATTAGAGATATACAATTACAGGGTATATGCAGGAATCCTGAAGTCAAATGTAATACCTTTTAAGACCCTTTCCATACATTTTAAGACCTAATCGCCACTTCGAGTTTTAACCGGTTACATTGGCGACCCACTTTACCTCACATTTACTATATACAGTATTGATTGTCCTGTTCAGATGACGTCAAATCCAACGGGATGCCATAAATAAACTACACAGAATCACACTACACACCTACGCAATGATTAAATTCAGGTAAACTGTAGAATACAACCTCTTTGGACAATTTATATACTTATTGAAAACAAGCTACAAAATGTAATACCTTGGGAAATGCCGTTTAATACTTTTTAATAGCCGTAATTTTCGCTAAATTGATTTATCAACTTTTAATACTTTTTAAGACCCCGCGGACACCCTGAATGATTAAAGTGATGCCGGTAAACAAAGTAGATGATTTTTATTACCATAACTGGAAAATAGGCTGGAGTTTGAGGCAGCATTTTCTCTGCCTCGTCTTGTATGAGCTGTCGATCAGCATGTAACTCTCTCCCCTTCAATGAATAATAATCAAAAAGGTGAAACAGCTAATCATTGCAACTTAGATGTCTTATCTGACATGCTATCTATTTCTAAACAAGCAATCATAAATCATTCAAAATCTTTTCAACTGTGGAGGGATGGACTAAAATCTGGCATGTCTTTGATTTAACATCAGTCAAGCCTCCACATTTGGGTATTTCAAATGGCCCTGACTCAAATGTCTTTAAATTGGCTAACTGCATGCCCTCCCTCTTTATTTAGGGCTCTCTTTAACTGGGCTAGCCCCCATGTCTGCTTGTTGCTGTGCCTTGGCTTTTAAGTCAGTGCTCTTCACTAATGAAGTTCTATACTTTATTTATGAGACAAACAGAGGTCTTTGGTTCTTGAGGGTGCGTGTGGTAAATAGCTCTGCATGTCCAAAGAGTCTCCTCTATATCCCTCTGAGGGCTCTCACTGCTTTTGGCAGGCCTTTGTTTTCGCTAAATACACTGGAGACATCGAGAATGGTAGAAAAAAAAGGCTGAAATCTGATAAAATGGTACTGTGTGAGGATTTATCTTTTCTCAGAACTAAGAGTCGTCTTTTTTCCCTTAAATGTGACCTAGAAGCATCCTGGCTTTTTTGTTCCTGGTCATTAAGAGATATATTGTCGACGCTGAAGAGAAAAAGGGGGCAAAGCTGAGTTTCTACGCCATTTCTTTGTTCAGGATATATCTCTTTGAAATAAAATGTATTTTGGTTCCACTTCCCCCATTGGTCAATTACAGTTCTTAAGGGTTACTGTGTCATTGTGGATGAAGAATGCAACTTTGAATTACTGTAAAATAACGATGCTAAACTGCTCTTCGTAAAAAGTACAGCTTAGATGTCTGAGGAGAGTTGAGGTTTGTAGCAAGAAAATCATTTACAATAAAGAGTGTCTGATTGGAGAAACACTTAACGCTCTAATTATTTGTGTTTTACGCCTATGTTGTGTGTTTTAAACTCAAAGCTTACTCTTTGACAGTTGCAAATGCCATTTTGTGCATGAATAAAGCAGGTGTGCTTCTTGGACTTTTATTTAATTATTTTTTATTTGTTGATTTGAAAGGGAAGGAACTACACAAAATACAGGCTTTTTTTTTACTATAAAAATAAGCAGTTCATGGTTTGCAAAAAGATAAATCCCAGTACTTTGTGTCTCAATACAGTAAAAGCTATGGCAGTACTATGATGTAAATAGTGCAGGACTTCCTGAAGATGTCAGGGGAGTGTTGTGCTTTTGCCGCTGTGGAACCACAGATAGTTTGATTTGATCCAAACTGAATATAGTATCAGATGTCGTACACTCTTAAAAAGCCGTATACAAATACGTTAACCTGATGTTTGTGCCCAGTGTGTTTGCTGGATTTGAGAGCTAGGCATATATAGTAATTAATCTAGTGGAGGAGTGCATATTCCCTGTGTATCTATGTTCTTTGTGCAGATGTATTCCCTGTTTGACCCGGAGACATTGCCATTTCAGGTTGTGCATCTGAGCGGAGGGTTGGTATCGACAGCGGAGTAAAGGAAGGGGTCATGGATTAAAGACGTGGGGCGAATTTTCCCCACCAAACCACAAACACAACCCCCAGCTGGTGCGGACCAAGCCAAGTGTGTGGGACCAAGGCAGGATAAACGAGCATTGTTCTTAGCTAGCTGCACACACGGTGGATGAGAGGACCACCGGTGACACAGGGTCAAAGGGCATGTGGTCGACTACGGCAGGAGAAACGGCCGGGCCCAGGAGGTACTGAACACTGTTAAGCCACGGTGGGCTTCTTAAACACCAACCACGCTATGAGGGACACATGAAAAAAACAAGCCATTATAGCGATAACACGACTGGGTGGAATTTAAAATCAGTCGGCTGTCGCAGAATTTGACGCAGTGGAGGAAGTGGGATAGCGGCGGGATCATCTGAGGCATTTGAATCAACATTTTTAAGCAGAGAAAGCAGATTGTATTTATGAATCTGTGAATGCAAGTTACAGGGAACATCAAAAGCCGGTGGTCTGTGTGCGAACCTTCCTTGACTTGAATTATTAAATCTGTCGATGTCGCACACGCCAGCCAACCCGCGATTATAGTGTAAATTGACAAACTTTTTCAAAACTACAACGGAAGCCTCAGAAAGCTGGTTGATACTTCAAGAATGAGCTTTGATACATCTCTGAGGAATACACTCTGCTTCAATAATGTGGGGACTGTCAGGAAGGAAGACAGGAAGAAAAAAATAAAATGCTAACTGGTTAAATCTATTTAAGATCCCAATGAGCTTTTTTCCTATTTTAAGATAAAAACCCTCCTTGATAATGAGGAAAAAAGGAGCTGTGTGTTTCTTTGTTTGGATGGTTTATTTAGAAAGTGATATTATGTTTTTTCTTCCTTCTGCACTCCTGAATTAAGAACTTCAGGAGGAACGCTGACGTTGTTTATTTTCACAGACCCCCCCTCGTTTTTGTATAAAAAAAAACACCACCACCCAACCAACACTCAATGCACAACACACACACCGCCGTAGTGATGCACGTATTTTCTTCGGGAGCAGAGCAAGGAGAAGCGGCGCTCGATCTGTTGCCTGTACACCTCTCTCTCCCTCCCTGGCTCGCCTTTGATGTGCTCCCGAAAATGTCATCAGGCGTCAAGGAAAGAGGTTTTTTTTTTTTTTTTTTTAGACCCCCCCCTTTCCCTGCAACCCCCCAAACACACACAAACACACATATCCACCCACCTCGCATATGAGCGAGACAATTTGCTGTCGCTCACTCATCCTCACCACTATCTTGAACACCACCCCGCTCCCTCCCAACCCCAATCCAAAACAGAAGACGTACCAGTTTCTACTGCTATCTGGTAGCCGGCCTCCAGTCTCCGTGATGACCTTTCCAGCTTCTCTGTGTTGTCCAACAGATGCGCTCGCTGCAACAAATAGAGGGGAGAAAAAAATAAACCAGAGAAACAAACGCAAAAAAAAATTTGATTGAGAGGGCTGGGACCCATTTCAAAGAAACACATCAACACTGTCAACTAAACAGACAGACCACATCCACAGCAACAACATAATGCAGCCAGGTTGGCAATAACCTTCATGGATGACAATGTGTTATTTGCTGATGGAATATCAAGCATATGCATGTTGAGGCTGACAATGTAAGAGGTGCTGCCGCCTCATCTTGGATATAAAAACAAGAAGTACTTTGAGGTTTGTTGCCTCTTGGTATTGTTCCACAGCGTAGCCTTCTGCTGCACACAGAGGGAAGTTAAGGAAGGGATGTGGAGGGAATTAAGATACAATCAAATGTAATTTAAAGCTTGCCAGTTCAAAGGAACATCCTGTTCAGGTGATGGCTTTACACCGGAGCAGACATACAGTATAAGACAAAATCAACATTTACTCTCGCAACTGTAGAGAGTTATGCAACCTTTAAAGTTTAAGATCTTGAATAATAACAATCCATCAATGTCAGAAATGTATATCAAATGGGCATCATTGTAACGGCAGGAAATGTAAGAATTATCCTAAACAAAACCATCAAATGTATTTTTTTCTTCTTGTTTATCTACATTAATGGACCAATACAGTATTTAATGATGTATGAATAAATGCACCCCCCCCCCCCCCCCGCCTCACCCCCACTTGGTTTACTCACAGCTATCAACAATTGACAAGGCTGTCCATTGAAAGCTTGGAGCTAAGGGAGCATATCAAGAAAAATGTGTTTCATAAATAATTAAATAAGCAATTTGATCATTTTTTTCAAAGTGGATCTTTGTGAGTATCAAGGTGTTAGCTAGGGCTGTAATACTGTGTGTAAACATATCAATTGATAGCAGTGCCTTAGATACTAAGAGAACCAGTGCTTCTGGTTTCTTTTCTAAAGCAACATTTGATCTTTTCTGACTGGCAAGGCGAGAAAAAATATCCGATCTGTTGACTGATGGCCTTGAGTTCCATCTCACAGTATGGGCTCTTTAACATAGGAATCTGCCATTATGTTTACATGTAATTGTGTTTACATATTAAAATACCCCACCATGCATAGAACTTGAACTTGAAAATGTTGATCTATACCTGATGATGCGTATTGTTTGATATTAAATGTTGTTAAATCTATTTTAATATTTGGTTTTAAACCTATTCTTCCAACTGCCACCATCAGGAAAGCCTGCCTCTTATTTAAATTAACAGCTAGTCAATTTGTCAATGAGCCCTCCAAACGATTATTGAATTAAGCAGAACATTTCTAGTTAGGAATATCTACTTTATTGTTTCAACATTACATTGTTTAATTCATTGAACAAAAGAGGATACTCTATGCACTATGCATCATCATTTAGTTCTTGCAATAAAAGTCATTCTTCTACCACAGTTTACCCATCGAGGGTAAACTGTGTGATTATTTTTTTGACAGTCATATATGGTTTTCTTTCAAAAGGCTACTGTTTTAACGTGTTTCCCAGATGTCTGCATTAAGTTTGATTCTGTGTTTTCGACCTTTAATCTTTATAATACGATTCCAAAGACTTAATAAACTACATATCTCATTAAAAATATTCTAATGTACTGTATCACAAGGGGGTTAATCATGGGAGCATTTGTTTGATCAGCCTTTGTTTCAAATAATGCGTGGATAAAACACTGAAGTAGTTTTATTAAATTCAATTATTCTATTTAATCATCATGGTTGCTCTAAGCAAATCTTTAGATATTGATTTAATTGTTATTTGCCTGATTGGTTAAAATTAACTATGTTTTTTTCTTTTACCACTTTCATTCAAACAATTTGGTGAATTTAAAAAAAAAACTACCTTAAAGTTGTTTGTATATCTAAACCGTTCCTTATAAGGCAATACCATCATGCAATCTGTTAAACTAGGCAGAGGCTTATAGACATTTTAATGAAGTCTATTTGGAATCCATGGCTTTTCAGTGCAAAGTTTTGACCACCTACTGTATCCAACATACAAACACAGCTTCAAACAACATAAATAATGTCCACTGTAGCAGTCAGGCTTTCATTAAATCCAAAGTGAATTCAGAAGAGAGGATCATAAACAGCGTAAACATGGAAGGCATAAATGTTTATTCCAATGTTGTTGGTTTTGATGGCCCTTTCTAATATGCTATGTTAAGAAACTGATCAGATGTAACATATTTGACACTTGAAAACAACCCGACGAATGACATCCGCCTCTCTGACAAGGGTTTAGACCCATCACAAGAGCGAAGGGGACAGGGGGAGAAGTGAAATCTCTAGTTTTGGTTAGGCTGTCAAAATGTGTACCAGCTAATCACTCAGAGGAAATGAAAAAACGTAAGAAGGGAAAAAAAAAAAAAAGTCAACGACACACTTTTCAAAGTTTGACAATAAGAGGGATGGGAAAAGAGCAGGGAGAAAACTCCTTCTGAACTCTTTTCTCTCCCTCGCTTCCTTTTTCTTCGCGCCGCTGACAGATGTCATTTAAAATTGCAGAGATACTTTGCAATAGTTAAAGGGAGGGCAGGGGGAGGATAGGAGAACGGGTGGGTGGATGTGTGGTAAAATGGGCCGCTACTAGGAGAAAAAGCGATGGGGAGACGGTGAGTGGGACAAGGTGTGGTGTGTTTTTGGTGTAAGGTGTGGCAGGGGGTTTTCAGGGAGGGGTTACTTGGGTGTGGAAGTGGTAGTGGCACCAGCAGTGATGGTGGCAGTGTGCTCGTGGGAGAAAATGGATACCAAGCTTGGGCTATAATGAGCCCCTATGGATCAGAGGGGACGTATTGACATGCAATGCTTAAGCTTATACACCTAGACCATGGCTGCAGTGCCTGTGTGTGCCTGGGAGCATGAGGCAGTCGGGGATACTGACAGAGTAGCGCACTCCCCGGGTTCTTCAAAGAGCTCAAGTGATTAGTATGTTATCATTACCATTCGAAACGTGATTTTCCTATTCCCTCTCGGCAAAGGTGACACGTCTCGGGGAGACGGCCGGCAGACTCACTGCGATGGAAAGCCACTTCAAAGCTTTCTCCTCCTGAATTTCTCCCTCTCTCTCTCTTCTCTCCCGCGTTCTGTCTTCTTTTAGGGCCGGGGGGAGGGGAGGGTGAGCGCGGGTGGGTGTGTGAGGTGGGAGAGGGGGTGCTGGGGGGGGTTTAGTTGTGGCAGTGGCGGTGTATACGTGTGTGTGATCATTAGAATAATGCGCCCCGAGTTTGACGGTGACAGAACCTGAAGGAAAGGGTGAGAGTTCAGCCACTAAGAATCCAGTAATGGCACACTGTGATGGCCCTAATAATGAAACAATCCAGACATGGACGCAGGATGATACCATGGAAAATAATGAAAAGGAACATCTGCAATAAAAACCTCCTACACTACATTGTCTGTGTTGAGGCTGATAGAGAGATTATGTGTACAAACTTTGTCTAAAATGAGGTGACTCTGAATCTCCAGATAAGCAATTTTTAACAAATATCACAAAAATGTGAATCCAAGTGATCGGCTATGGTTTTATTCTGCAGATAGCAAGTCCAAGATATCCTTGTCAGCATTTTTGTCCAAGGAAAAGCAAAGTGGCTGCCAGCTCCTACTGTGCTACAAAGACATATCAAGGCTTGACCCCCGTGGTTCTGATATAAGCATCATGGGATCTTCAGAATAAGGCACACATACTGTACAATAACATCTATTCAAGCTCCAATACTGGCTCACAATTCAGCCCTGACATTAATAAACTGAAAAAACTATGCATGTCATCATAATGATATCTGATTGTCTCATGGAGCCTTCTAGCAAAAGATTTAAATACAACATATGATAAATGTTGTGCATCTCTGAGTGCACTGGTGCACCCCACCACCTCCACCATCCTTTCTCCCTATGCATGTATGCCTTTTCATCTGACACCTACATTTTGAACAAAGATCTTCTTAGGAGCCAGGAAAATTGTGTTTTTTTGTTGTGCTGTTTTGCGTCAAGAAACACTCTTCAGTTGTAAGTTATTAACAGGGAGCCCCAGAACAATGCAGCTGTAGCTCAAACGAAATCTCTCCCCTCTTCTTTCGCTCTCCTGCCTTTTTTCAATATCAAACACGGGCGGTTACTATCACCATTTTCCAAAGTTCAGATGATTTCCTTATTATTTCAATAAGGGTGGGGGAGAGTCAAAGTGAATAATGATGACAGCTGTGATTCAGACTGACTGTGTGATCTTCTGTGCCGTTTGTTTGGGACTTGTAAGACGAGGAATTACAAGTGTCAAACAGCTGTGAATATGGGTGCTAAATATTTAAACATGTTTTTCAGCTGAAGAAAAAAAAGTATAGTTTTTTAAAAGCAAGGCTTAAGTGTGTATAAGCTGTGCCAGCCTTTGATTCATATGCAGGAAGAGCAGGAGGGTAAAAGACTGCAATGGGAGAAGAGCAATGGCGAAGAGGGCGCAGAATCAAGCCCGGTTACACAGATCGGGTCCTTCCAAAAGGGGGAGACAGGTGAGGTAACTCAAGATGACTTCTGACCCTCAGGCTAGCAGGAAATGCACAGAAATAAAGGTGGGAAGAAAAAGGGGAAACAAAAGTAGAGCTGAATAAAAGAAAAAGGGGTGATAACATGGCATCTGGGCCAGCTTGGAGCTCTAAATTATGAATAGGTGTGAATGGTGAGCCTTTGATAGGAATTGAATTACTCTGTTTCAGAAGAGACCCTTTTGAACATATCTCAGTCAAAGGCACGATTAACAACATACTGTAGGTACACCTGCAAATACAAGTTCAGCCACACTTCAAAGGACAAGCAACAAAATGTACAGGAACTGAATCTGCCTCAATTAGAGGGAAATACATCTTTATGGGTATCAATGAAAATGAGTTACAACTACTGAGTGTTGATTTTAAAAAATATGATAATTATGATTGTGAATAACATGCTTGATATTTGTTAAGCAACATAATGTTATTAGAATTCACATTTATATTGCACTACCAGAATAACCAGTATAAGGTTTTGGAGAGAATATTACTAATACTTTAGGACAGTCCGAGAACAAGTGATTAAGTAAAACAAAACAAAATGGTTGCATTAACACCATCTTAATTCATAAACACACAGTTTTGACTACTCAATCAACATTCCATGTACAGATTGCCATGGCCGCTCAAATCATGCCTTTATATTATACTTACAGCTTATACAGATACAACAACATACACGTTTAAGGAATAACCATTTGATTTAAACCTACAAGAGAGAAAAATGCCAACTGTTGTTAAATTAATCTGTCACAGGAAACTTTCATGAAAAGTTATTCTTATGTAGAAAAATAATCATGTATGCCATTTAGTTTAGTTCATCATTGCCTTTGATTTAATTAGCATGTGGTAAGCTAATCGGCTAAGCAATAGGATAACTCTTGTTTCCGTTTGCTGTGGATTGTTGTAAGATCTGCTCAACCAAAATGATATTTCAGATGTTGCATGTTCGTAATTTACCATTATTTACAAACTATCATTGTACAGTACCTGAAGTGTTGAAGTGTTTTCTTGACATTTTTGTTTGTCTGCACTGATGAACATTTTTGCTGCGCACTAATAACAACACTTGATTGACACTTGGTTTCATTGCTTTGCTTGCTTTGGAGACAACAACCCTTACATTGCACAATTTAGAACATGAACAATGAAATACATCAAATGTCATGCACTAATCTATGAAAATGGGGGTGATATTAATGGAGAAGTGAATGATAAAACTACCTTACAGTCATGATTGAACAGCTTCAAACACATTGGTGGGAATTGCACTCAATCCAATTCATTACAAAATTGAGTGAGCAACTACATGGCCTCATTCAAGAAAATTAGGGGGTAGTACATCTTGCAAGCAGCAAATCCCTCGTGAAACAAAGAAATTGATCAGTGTTGGGCCAAATCACCAAAGCTATTTGAAGTTTTGCTTCATTTTGCTGTTTCAGTATCAGAAATAATATCTTATCCTTATGATATTTAAGGTAACTGGAGAAACTGACCTTAGGTAAATTCATTATCTTTGGCTTGGCTTGTAAGCCGTTCAATCAGACATGCTAAAAAAATATGTCCAAATGAGTTGATTTGAATTTTCTTCAGGAGAGCACGGCAAATTGAAATTTCAGTGGGAAAGCAGAATTTAAGGAAGCACTTACCTCTTCACGCAACTTTATCAACTGCATCATGAGAGCAGAAGGAAGAAAAGAGAAAGATGGAGAGAGTGAAGGAGAGATAAACATGGCAGGAGGAAAATCAGTCATGTGGCTGAGTACAGAATTAACCTTGACGATTTATCTGTTTGCATGTTTAGCATTTGGAAATCACTAGACAAACACATTAAACGCAGCTAAACACGCCGCTCGGGCTGACTTTTTTGAACAAACAAAGATCAAGTCCTGGCGCTGTCACATTAAACAAAGAGAGGGAATGGATCGCTCCACTTGCAATATCAACTAACATTATCAAGGAAGTCACTTCACACAAGTCAATATAGCAAGAGAACAAAAATAAAATATAGTCTGCACAGTTGCAAAATATTTTTCCTCAACATTTTAAACTGCATCTGTCATTTTGCTGAATTCTCTGGAAAGGATAAAAAGGGAATATGTGCCCTTTGGAAGAGAGTTGGAGAAATGCTGAGCCACTCCGTTTGTTCCACTGTTTATCAATGCTGATATGCTGTCAATATTACATGTAGCTTCATGAAGGTGCATTTAGATTATGTATAAGCCATGTGAGGATACCCCTGTATACATCCAGTGCAGCGTCTTATTGGGACAGCCACAGATCATGAAAAATGAATCTTAGCATAGCTATACATTTTTGATGAAAGAGAATAGCAAATTTAAAGTGAAGTAAATAAAAAATGCTATTCTATTCCCTGCCCTGGAAAAACCTTGCATCTCTAAAAATGAATCAGACATTTGAGGAAGGGAAATAATCCCATTTGCCATTAATTATGTCTAATCACAATTAAAAGAAGGTTGCTTCCCTGGCCTGTTGTTAAGTGAGGGCTATAGAGAAGGAAAGAGGAGGCTGGGGCTTATCTTGGGAGTGCAACGCGGTTGGTAGAAAAAAGGGAAGGACATATTCCTAGATTTGCAAGCCTTTAAGGTGTTTTTGAATCCACGGTTCTTGGCCAACATTAAAAGGTGATCAGATTTGAATGCAGTCTCAGGGCCACTGTTACTTGTGCTGTTTATTTAGAATTGTGCAAACTGTAATCATTTTATGTTATCTAAGGCTGACATTTTTGAGATCTTGAAATACAAACTTTAATTGCTAATTCTGTGAAAAGAAAGGGAACAAAATGCATATTGTGTCTGAGTGATATAAAACAAAAAATTACAAAATAAAGCATCAGCCTCTTTCTATTGGTTTATGCCAGAATACAATTAGGATATAACTTATATTTCAAATGTTTACCTTTTAAACTGGAATTTTAAACAACAGCAAAATAATATTATACTGCATACTATATTTGTCTGCTCTATTAATATTCCACCACGAGTAAAACACTCGAAGAAATGTGCTGTATGATAATAAATGCAGGAGAAATATATACTATATAAAACACAAACACAAAGTGCTTCACATATTACAATTTTGCATTTTTCGCAGCACTCCCCCTGTTATTTTAGAAGCATCTCAAAAATAGGATTTATACATTTTGGATTTATACACCAATCAAAAAAATCCATCGCTTCACCTCAATATCGCAAACATAAAAATATAGTTGGTATGTGTTATCTTGGAGGTAAACAAGTATAATTGCATGTTATTCTAAGGAGCTCTTTGCCTTGAAAAAGTCGGCCGTATTCAAGACGCACTAAAGAGTTGAAGCTGTCTTTTTTCTAACTCGAGCAACAACTCCCCACGAAGAATGCATTATTGAAGAGGCCAAAGTTTAAAACTACACTGTGGATGTGCTTATTTGGGGCTTGAAAAAACCCAGCAGATCCTGAGATCCCTCACCCCGGCTCAGCCATCAGTCAATGGGTACCAAACAAAACTTGTTCGAGCTCATTTGTGCTGCCTGACTGATTGCAAGTGTTCGTGGAGGATTTGTTAAAACTATACGAGTGGCATGTTGAGCCGTGTTTCTTCCTGCTTAGCTTTATTTTTCTCTGGCATCCATTCTTTAATACAGCCAACGACGCTCGCGCTGCTCAAGAGATATAGAGCAGTAAATACAGAATATTGTAAATGTTATAATTACTCCTGCATGAGCGCCTTTCCCTGTGTTTTTGTGATGCCAGCCAGTATTCAAAATTGCACTGCTGCAATTTTTCTGTTATGATAATCAGCAATTTTTTTTTCAAACAAAAGATTTTTTTTATCCAATACGGAATTCGATACAAGTGGTAATCTGCTTCCTTTGTAGCCTGTAAAATCTGGTCCATGCCGGCTCAAACCAGCACAATCTCTTGTGGCCAAGCCTTCTGCTGTGACTGAAATCGAAACTATTCCGTATAGTGTTCGTGTGTGAAAAGTGTGTGTGCTTCTGCTGCTTTGTGTGTGGTGTCTCTGTGTGTGTGTGTGTGGTTTCGTTGTGTGTGTGCACGCACCAACGTATGTGCGTGTGCTGCATGCAGAGGGAAACAGAAAGAAAAAATGTGCAATGGTAGCCTACCACATTATTAAAAAAACGAGTGATAGTGCCAATTCAGTCTCTGTCCGCATACAGATAACGAATAAATGCCGAACTCTATTAAATCGTCCTTTAGCCATTATCGCAGGGCCAATACGCCATTTTCAGAACTTATGACGGTTCCCTATTTACTTAGCTATAAATCCTTGCCATGTTACCAACAGATTTGTGACTGGTAATGATCTGCTCAGCCAGGGCTATATGAAATGATCCTGACCTCTTTCAGATCGTCAGGAATTAAATTGACCGACTTGCACCGGCCCCCACCATCTTTTCCCCTCTCCTATCACCGCCGTCTCGTTAGATAAAAAACTCTGAAGTTCCGAGTACTCCACTCACAGCAGGACCAAGACAAGTATTATCTGCACAAGTTTAAAAAGAAAAAATGAGGTAAATACGGCACCTGTGAGGAGAAAGGGGAAAATGTATATCATCTATTTACTGTGCTTTTGCCCCCACCATGAACTTGTTCTAACTCTTTGAGTGTGTAGGTGTTTTAGGTATATAATGTATTATTGCAATTTCTCACGTAAGGAATTATTATTGCAAATTATACCAGCTTTTTTGAACATTCAAAAATGTATGTTGTATTTTTTTAACATATAAAGGTTTTGAGTCCTGGTCATATTTGGAAAAAAATTAAATAAGGAAAATATAAAAGAATAAATTGATGAAACAAAGGGAAGCAATACCCTGTTAAGTTGATCTGTTTTAATGGACATCATGTTTGGCCTAAATTGCCAAATATAAATATTTTATTGCAATGTGATATCTTTCAATATTTTAAATTGTATTTAACATTTTATAATTTTATAACGGACATGATGTTGTTGGGCATTGATTTAAATGTCACATTCTGCTATTTATTTGACATGTGTATAAAACTGGATTAAATTATTTTGTTTTATTGTTTTTCATTTTGCAATACAGTCTTTTGACGTATAACAATATCAAATAAATTACAGACAGTTGGTGTCAATTAATAATAATAAAAAAATAATTTCTAAAACTAGAAATACAACAACAAACAGCAATTTCCTAAATTTAGAATATAAATGTTATGAGATTCCATAATATTACCCATATCTAATTCTAATTTGATAATGTTATTTTTATATGTACAGTATAGACTTATAAATATTACTTTATTACATGTTTGGATACATTTTTGAATGAAAGGAAAATAAGATTTGAAATGAGATGTTTTTTTCAGCTTCTCCTTGACAAGATTCTGATAGAACTCCTCAGTGTCTGAGACGTGACATTTCTGACAGCGAGTCTCCTTCCAACTTCTGCACAAAATGTCAGAGTCACTTTTGTGTCTCGCTAATTTGCCAGGAATATGCATTTCAATTATGCATCTTGGTTCTTGATACATATGTTTCTAAGATGTGCGGTTCATGGGTCATCATTGAAATGGTAATAGGGAAATGTTCAAAAAAAATATAAAAACAGACAACTTTTTTTTTTTAGCTTTGCTTAGCTATGAGTCTTCTAAATATACTCACATAGAGCACTGGGGGACTCAATGTGCAAATATGCATTTAGGTTTTCATCTTTGTCCTTTTTCTTTCTTGATTTGCACGTAAATGCAAAGTATTTATTTGCATGCGAATGTGTGATTGTGTGTGTGATTGCGTGTGCCTTGAGACACAGTAACCCCTGCAAGCTGACAGCCGATTGTAAAGGTAATATATAATTACTTAAAAGACGCTTGGTCACAGTTGAGAGTGGCTGTGTACGAGTGGCAGCTGTGCAGGTGAGCAATAGGTAAGTCTTAACTGTTAAAACGCTGTGTGCTGAATCCAGTGATGTATCATGGTTTTGAAGCCGTTCTACATGTATTAAAAGAAATAACAAAACAACTTAAGTTTAAGAGAACACGTGGCATATTTTGGGAAATTAAGATCACAATTCATGATGATTGTTTGTCTTCTCCATTGCAAGCGCTGTGAATGAATCTTTTGTAGACTTTGCTGACAATGAATGAAAATGGGTCTTTATCTGTTGTTTATATCCCTCCAATTCAACAGGCTGAACTGATATCCAAACAAAATGTCAGTCAGCGGCTTTTAGAGAACAATAAACCAATTGTGAACACGGTGATTGATAATAGATCAAACCCGGCTAACAGTTGGATATTTGCTGATATTAAATAAGAATAATTAAAAATGATTTAGGGGCTAAAGGATAATTAGTAAGGAGTACCACACCAAAATAATTCTGTGATTTCTTTAAAAGATATCAATTGTCAAAAATATGAGAACCTGTATTCTTAATACATTTGAGTATCTGAATTGTGCGGGAGTTTAAAGAAAGACCGGAGAGCAAGATTTAGAAATTCTGGGTGTGCATGTGTGTGTCTATGTGTGTGTGCGGACCTCGATGGAGGGTCTTTTATTTTCTTAAGTCCACACCCGGCTGGAGAACAGCTGTGGGACGGTTGGAGTGGGGAGTCCGGGTTTTTTAGATTTAAAATTTGTGTTGGATTGTGTGTTTGTGTTTTGCTGTGCCTGTGTGTGTGTGTGTGCCTGTGTGTGTGTGTGTGTGTGTGTGTGTGTGTGTGTGTGTGTGTGCGTGTGTGTGTGTGTGTCACAATCTGGCATTGAGCAGACCCTGGTCCCAGGCCCTGAGCCGACTCACTGGCAGCCCAGCTTTGCATTAAACAGTGTTCCTTCCGCATGACTTGGTGACAATGCTGTGGTTTTGAGCTCTCGATGGCCTCTATGGAGGGGCCCCACCTCCTCACCCTTGGGGCCAGTCAGCCACCCACACTGGTGTCGTCTGGGCCCCTGATTAGCACCTCACCTGGTTCTCCGAGGAGCCGGCGTCATCCCCCAGGAGATCGTTGCGCACCTCATCACTGTAGGCGATACGTGACCTTTTCTGCAGGGGGAGGAGGATGAGGAGGAAGGACAAAAAAGGAAGAAGAGAGGGGAGAAACGGGGGAGAAGGAAAAAGAGAAAACAAGTGGGGAAATATGGCTTAGTACTGTCGTCGAAGCAGAGACACAACAGGCATTCCTTAAGCACGAGAGCCCCCTAATGGAACTCGGTGACAAACAGTCATACACATGTAGGCTGTGTGTGAGTGTGTCTCTGTGTGCGTGTGCGTGTGTGTGTGTGCCCTTACAACACATGTACTGAAAACAAGCACGTCTGGGTGTGTGCCTCCTTCCAAGGTGAACTACTGTACCTAGTGCACTTGTGCCACAGAAGTGATGGCAAAGAGCCCCCCCACCTTGCCCACTTAAACAAATATAAGTTGAGGGATAAAAAATAAAAACCTCATCTCACACGGGGAGATTGTGGAACAGGGGGGACAGGGGAGAGGGGCCGGGGAGATGTATTATGAGGAAGTATCACTTGTCAGTGCTAAATCTTTTCTGGGGGCTGTCACCGCTGTCATCCCAGTGCAGTGGCAGCCTCTGTGATAACAGCAATGCTGAGACTCAGACAGGGAATAATTCATCACCCATTGGCGGCCCCTCGGATTTTGGGGTTGCCTCTCTCCAACACACAAAAACCCCGCTCTCTCTTTCCCTCCGTCTCCAGATGGGTGAGAATAAGAGGGAATGCCATGTCCAAAACAAAAAAAAGAAACCCAAAAAGACAAACACACACATTTCATACACACTTCAGAGTGTGCCACCTCCGATTGTGGAAGAGTGGGCTGCCGTTGTACCGCTTGTTTACAGACGCCCGACCCGTGGAAAAACAGCCTCTTGGCATGCCCTCTAAACTAAATACACACCAGCAGCAGACAGAGAAAGTGTTTACTAAGCCTCCTTCGCTTTCTCTCCCTGCCTTGACAGGGTTTCTAGGTGGGCTGCAGGAGGTGGGCAAAATCAAAGACAAACACTAGCATAGGAATGAAAATATCACTTTTTTTCTCAACACAAATTCTTTCTATTTTCTACATTCACTTAGTTCTCGACTGTAAATAAATAAAACAAAGAGAGAGAATCAGTGAAGGAACACCAATTACCTGGTGGGGACCTGCTTTCCCCCCCTAAAATACAGTATATCCTTCCCTGGAATCTTTCTATTATCAGTAAAAGTTTGAAGAAGCTATTGCATGAAGTTCTTTGATGCTGCCTCCTGTAAGAGAAGCACAACTCAAACTTCAAAAAGGCCAATTCTAACCTCATGAGTGACGATATCAAGCTCCTTGATTGAAATAACTTTAAAACCAATCACAACCGAGCTAGTTTTTTTGTGTGTCTCTCCTCATAATCTGGAGCAGTGAGTGGAAAGTCATGGCTGATGTGATTTGGCTGTTATTATCGTGATGGTGAGGGCCACAGTTCTCTGGAGTAATTACTGACTAGACGGAGGGCCTGATTGACCCAGACCACGAAACCCATTAGATAAAGAGTGCACCCAAACAATCCTCAGCCACAGGGACCTGAGCCAACCACAGCACGCCCAGTGGGGGGGGAAAGAGAGGATCGGCAGCACAGACTCAAATAAAAACACCACATAACACCCCCCCCCCCCCCCTTAATACGCATTACACAGGAGCACTATGTCAGAATGCTGTTCAGATGTCTCTGCAATTATTTTGTGATTGTGCCCAACAACAATTAGCTCAATTATTAACTCTTTAGTTTGCGTTAATTGTTGCGACACTTTATAATGTGACAGAAAATTCAAAAATACCTAGAGAAATAAGATTAAATAACTTATGAATTAATGGTAATTAAAGACCAAAAAATTCTAAAAATCAAAAATAGATAAATTGAGATCTACGGAAAATATTTGTGACACAAACATACATAATATAGTAATCACTGCCTTTTTTCTTTCTTCTGAACAGCCTCCTTTGTTCACATTTCTGAAGAAAATGTTTATTTCAATCAAATATTATTGAGAACAAATATTTGTAATCAAGAATAACAGAGTGATCATATGGAACATTTATAATCAGAAATAATTGTAGCAATCATATTTAAATGGAATGTGTATATGTTAAGGTAATTGAAGTGGAAGGATTTGTCCCTGTAAAATAAATGAATCTAAAAATGCATTTTTATTTCCAATTCAAAACTTATGTCAGTACTTTTTAAGCCCATCTTCTGTGCAGAGGTTAAATTGGGTCTCTGTGCTTCTGTCACGACAATAAAATCGGATTTGAGAAAAAACCAGAAAGACAATAAGCATCAATTTAAAGACAGCTTGTTCACTTGTACACGAGGCACAAACTCATATTTGTTGCAAAGGAAAAAACACCCACATATTCCATTTAAGTCAAGTTTCATCTTAAAGCGCTGCAGTGCAACTTAGGGGGAAAGACGACTTCAGCAGTAATTGAGACGAGGAAGCCTGGGAGAAGCATTGATTTGAATGTTAAGGCTTACGTCGCCTTCAAACCATATGCAGGGATTTTGGGGTATTTCTAAATAGCTGTCTGTTACAGATGAATGTATGAAGCGTTTCTGCAATGAGAACAGTGCAGATAACAAAGGAAAGTATAAAGAACGGAAATGTCATTGAAATGAAAGTGTGCCGCTACTTCCCCTGTACCTACTGTATACACTCCAGTTGTTGGATTCCCCCTCAGGAAAACAACAGATTCCTGAGTGATTACTGCCTTCCCATTTCATGTATGAACATAAACAGCTGTGCGATATTGACTGCCTAATACCGGAACAGATTTTGATTATAAGTTAGGGTGTTAAGAAAAAAGTGACAACAGGATCACTCTCGAGGTCAGGAAAGCAGATATCAGATACCTGTTCCATAGTAAAGCAAATCGTCTATTCTATAAAGAAAATGCACTGAAGCTCTCTCATTTCAGTTACAGTATGTAAAGAAGGAGCTTCATATCTTAAGACGAACTAATCAGCCTTTGTAATCTAAAAAAGAATGAGCGCTTTCAGAAGATACCTTATTGCTCAGAAAAGAAAGAGCTTTTTTTTAATCCTTTTGAAAGGTCTGTCTTTTGTCACTTTTTTTTAATCTTGGGTGAGAATTTGCTTCTATTCCCGGAAGCACACAAGAACAGTACAAAGGTACATCTTAACTTTATGCAAAGTGGCCTGCCTTTAAAAGTCTACACATGCCGTCAAATGCAGCGATGGAGGTGCTGGTGTCCTGTCAAAAACACACGTTTTACCTCTGTTGACACGCATAGCAGACGACAAAAAAAAGACTCTTCTTTACCCATCAAAACGTAATTACATATGCACGCATAACAATTTATATCAGATATGCTAATCAGTTTGGCATAATGCTCTGAGCAGCAAATGGTATTTATTTAATTATAGCAAATATATGGATATTTCCTTTGTGTCCAATTCCTTTCTAGTATGTGGGCATGCATGGGTATATAACGTCGAGATAAAGATGATTATTATTTATTTTAAAGAAAGAACAAAGGAAATCTTAAAGAACATCTGTTTACAGAAAATGTGTTGAAGATTGTAAAACAATGACCATTCCTAATTTCAAGCGGTCAACAATCTTCGTAATGTAAAAGGAAAGTTCTAGAAATAAAATAGCTATAATTAAAATCAAATAAACCGAGACTCATACACACATTTCAATGCCCTCCAACTCTCCTCGTTGTTTTTCCGCCCGGTGCAACGAATGACACAAGGACAAGCGCAAATAATTGTGGCGCCTGGAAAGCTACAAAATGTAAACAGTTCATTAGACGGGAAATAAAAGGCGTAAAAATACCCAGGGGCAGAGTGTAATGAGGGGCCCTGAAGTTCCTCTGCAGACGCTTTTTCCCCTCCACTTTCCCGAGCTTTTCCTTTTTTCGCCCTGCACACACGGCTGGTGGCATAGCATGAAGAGTAATTAAGCATATTCAATTTACAATCCCACGTTCCATTACAGGCTTTTTCAGCACAAGGAGAGCGGCAGGGCATTTCCAAATGTAGACCCAATAACTATTTTGTCCAGCTCCATGCGCTTGTCTGAAACCCTAACAGTTCAAACTGCTCTAAGAAAGTGAAAACAAATCAAAAACCATTATTTAAATAATAACTATGTGGCATAAAATGGACAGGAATACAAAAATATGAATTAATTGTCTGGAATATCTTGCAAAAACTTCCCAATAAAAAGTCTAAAGTCAGGAATAAAATGACAATAAAATGGGGTAAAAACCTTTATTTATGTCAACAAGAATGTGTGTTAAACTCAAAGGTTATCTATATCACTTTCTTTCCCCCCCCCCCCCCTGCTGTGCTGTGATATTTTCCCAGGTGATGTGTGGACCAGCACCAGCAGGTCCCACTCTGGTTTCCCCCCCCCCCCCCACAAATGGGGGCAGAGGTGGACCGATGTGGCGTGGTGTTAAAAGGAAGCGGAGACCTTTAAGCAGGCACAAGTATCACAACAGCATCTTAAATAATGCATCTCTGCTTGGCAGGGGGGGGAACACACACACACACACACACACACACACACACACACACACACACACACACACACACACACACACACACACACACACACCACACACACACACACACACCACACACACACACACACACACACACACACACACACCACACACACACACACACACACACACACCACACACACACACACACACACACACACACACACACACACACACACACACACACACCACACACACACACACACAACACACACACACACACACACACACACACACACACACACACACAGCACACACACACACACACACACACACACACACACACACACACACACACACACACACACACACAACACACACACACACACACACACACACACACACACACACACACACACACACACACACACACACACACACACACACACACACACACACACACGCACAGCACAAAGGAAAACACACACACAAATTGTTGTCTGGTGTCTTCTACTCTCCTTTAACACAAG